AATGTAGATCCACCGCCGCAACAAAATCACCTGCTGCCCTGCGCAATCTTCATCTGTCGATCCACCGCCGCCATGTATGCGTCCGTGTGGTGCGCCTTGAAAAACTGCTTGTGCAAGTCACGGCTACCGTCATCACCTTGCCTGGCGTACTTCGTGTTCGCCTTCCTGTACGACATGCAAATGTTGCACTTCACATAGGGAAATCCGTCCTTGGTTCTCCCAAACACCAGCCAGGAGAAATGTTGCGACCACTTCGTTTCGTAGTTGATACTCGCCTACAGGTACACCTGCTCTCTCAGCTGCATCTTGGTGAGTGCGGGTGAGCCGGTGTCCGCGTGGACAGGGATGTCACCTTCCTCTGGGAGCTTAGCGACATCTAGTGGTGGATCTGCCAGCTTGTCAGGCGGTGGAATACGGCGGCCTCCGACGAGCAGAGTACTCTGCGCCCACTTCCCAGATTGCGCTCGCTTGGGAGTAGAAGAAGCCGACGCCGGACCAAGGGACACCTGCACCGTGCTTGGAGTGGGACTAGGCGAGGGCCGTGGGGGATCTTTGCTGCATGAAGCAACAGCCGGGGGTAGTGTGAAGGCGACAGGATGAGGAGAGTCAGACGGAGTGGGGGTTACTCTAGCTGCAGAGTCATGAACGGTTGACCTAGGAGGATTGGGTGTGACTGGAGCACCGCTAGTTTCAAGAAAATCGAGCCCAGAGCGGGGAGCATTTGATGCTTTCTCCGGCAGGGCTGGCACGCCAGTCGGTTTCACCTTTCAAGGTGGCTCATCAAGGCCAGCCTAAGGAGAAGCATCGTCGGCCGGCAGGCCTTCCATGGCGACGAGATAGAAGAAAGATGGAGCGAGAGAAACTGCGAGACTGAAAGGATGAAATGAAAATAACAACAGCACTTCCACAAGCCTGGCTAGGGGTAGGGGGAAGGAAGGGAAGGTTGGAGATGGTGGGGTCATCAAGAAACCACCGCGCCGCGATGCCACAAAGTTGATGGCTCGAGTCGTCAATGAATTCCGCCTTGGATGCAAGGCTGGAATTCATTCAACGACTGCTGGACTGTCAGCGCCTATTGTCAACATGCCTCTCTAGCCAATGGCAGAGGCATGCTGTGCATTGCGCGGTGTGCGTGGCAGCAAAGCATGATTGTCTGGGTGTGCTGTTAGAGTTGCCAGCTGTGCTGTATAGTGGTGTTGTACATCGAGGTGTTGGGTTCGTTGTCCGTATTACGTCAGTCCTGCGCGTGAACGGGGTCCCTCATATGGGTGCACGCGAAGTAATGATTACGCACAGGGGGGGTTATAGGAAAGAAGTTTCGAGGAACCTTCGTCCCAAAACCCTCACATTCAGGGTCCACAGAATGCGTACTCTACATTGACAGTCACATGCCAATTTAGCACGAACGATAAAATACAGGGTTTGGGCGCCATACGACAACATCATCACGTTCACAACATTCCCACGCAAACAAACACACACCCATCCCAATTCGAGCGTGGGTGCCTTTATCCTTTGTGTGCATTACATATTCATGTCAGATCGTCTAGAATCATTGCAGTTACCTATTACACCCACTTCATGGCTCGAAAACGCAATGGTAACGCCAACAGAAAACCCCGACTGGCGCCCGAAGGACCTCGCTTACGTTTCTTGGATGAATGCAAAAATAGTTGCAGGCAGACCATCGACACAGCCTTCGCGCAATGTGCAGTCACACACTCGTGCGGGCTGCGCACTCACGGAAGTGGTCGTGTGCCTCCGAGAGTCGGAGGCAATCTTCGAAGCATGCAAAACTTACCCCGATCTCTCTGCCCAATCGCGCTCCTGTATCGAGTGGGTATGACTCGGATGAAACTTACCCCGAGAAGAATACGGATGTCGAGGACGACGAAGCAGCGTCAGACGGGGACGATCCCGTAGCGGCTTGGCATAGAGCAATGAAGTTCGGTGGTCTGGTTGAAGGGCCTTCCACCATGACAAATGCGCGGATTAGCGCAAGCCCGCGCAGCAAGGATAAGCGCACAAGGCTAGAACTCCGTTTGAGGTGCATGGTGGAACGACTTTGGGCCCGCATAAAGGAGCACGACTGGAATAGTCGCCCAAGGAGTTGTCCATTCTGGTTGCTGCAAGATGGTTTAATAAGGATGAGCTCACGAATATGAAGGGTAAGCAGGGGAGGCAGTACTTGCTGCGGCTCATCGAGCATTTCAAGCTTCAACACCCCGACTAGTGTCGTAATGCAACTGCATGCTTAAGGCCCTATGGAAGCACATCGACAGTGGGTGACAAGGCATCGGGCGGGGGGACGGTGACCAAACCACCGTCGTGGAAATGGACGGTACATGGACACCGTGGCGACAGAGCCTCACGCGCTCAACGGTGGTCGTGCAGAAGATGTTACCGTTGAGTCGCGTGAAGATAACGACGCCAGCGAAATCTGATGCAACCGGTACAACGTGTGAGTAAAGGCAAATTTTATAACTCATGCCTAGTACAATCAGGATTAGCAGAGTTGACTTAAAATGTATTCTACCAACAATATTCCGACAGCAATGATCCGCGCTAGTAACCCCTAACCTCCTCTGCTCCGTCTCGATCCCGCAGTGCGTAGCACCCCGCCAAGCGCTCGTTGCAGTATTAACGAGACGAGGACGATGGCAGCCGCCCAACTCCTCGCCTCCACACTTAAGGAGTGCTCAGACGCCTGCGTCGCCCAGATCACGGGGGTGATTCGGGAATGCATGGTGACGCAGCAATTCGCAAACCAGCCGCTGCCTGCATTATGCAGCCGGCCACTGTGTTGATGACAAAAACTGGCCGGATGGCACCATGGGATGAGAAGGCTCCATTTTCAGTGACGGCGTTGCAAAGTGGCGTCGCGCCGACATCGCTTGAAGTAAGCATCGTGTAAAGCCTCGCCAAGCCATTCTGTTCCTCCTTCAATCTGCTCGGGGCCCCGGTAAGGCACGGATTCCAATTGTAGTTCGCCAAGCCTCCACGCGTCCACCATGGGTCTCGGTTAAATGCTATGTCCGCCCACTTGTGGATTGGGATCTTCATGCCCACTCCTGCCATCTTTATCCCCATATTGTGCAGGATCACGATGCAACTGGCTCCGGCAAGGACGCTCCAGAGCGCACAGTCATGTCGGCCGATAAAATGTTGGTACCGGCCTTTGAATTGGCCGATTGTGCGCTCGACGCCCAAGGATAATCCCATATCGTTCCGTTTGCGTCGCATGTAATATGTAGTTGCACCACATATTGTGAATTCTGGGTATAATATTATGCTCTGTGTCCCCCTTTCCCCTAATCTGTTCGTCAGGTACCATCTATTGCTCCAATTACGGCAGGGATGCCCTTTATGCTATGAAACTCGGCAGCCGTGGCTTGCATTTCTTCCCTTGTTGGGAATCTTACCCATGCTAATTTGAATACAAGTAGGAAGTTCTGTAACAACACGTTCACTAGCTTGTGATAGAGGGTTTTTGGGACGCTGAACCAAAACGCAGATCAACGTACGACATCGCGCTGGCAAAATACTTGGTGCCACTAGGATAGCGACTGTAGTCGGCTAGGCAGGAGCCTCTCAATTACCTGGTTAAGAATGAGGCGCATTCCATCACAAACGTAGTCTAGGATGGCGCAGTTTATTTTAAGAAGGTCGGTGAATGTCTCTTCTGACGTGGACGCCATCTCGAACCCCATAACTATAGGCGCAGACGTCATACTGCTCGGTTGTGTGCATATAGCGCGCTCCTATGTTCTCCATTGTACGGGTCGTAGCTACCGGATTATATGTGCTCAACAAGCTGTATGAACGCCTTAGTGGCACACTTAAAAAATGTATTGTAGTAGAAAGCATGCCAGGCAATTAGCAGCCGTGGTAGAAACAGCATTTCAGTCATGCTGTGGAACAGTTTTGAACTAGCGTGCAGGATGTGGGCTATTATGTTTATGTAGGACTGGTGCGTATGTTGAGGCTAGAGCTGGCGTGTAGGCTTGGGTTGTTGCATGCACGAAAAAGTGTTGTTCGTGGGACAAAGCCGATGTCGCACCTACAAATTTGCGCCGAACCGCATAAAGAGCACCTCTTTTCACCAAATGCCACAACACAATGTCGAAGGGGGCTACATTTGCACTGATTTATAGTCGCGTAGAAGCGCAAACCGGCAATAGTGTGTGACAAGAGGTTTTACCGAAACTGCCCATTTACAGCGCGGAAGGCTGAGCTGATAAAAGGATGGCCTGATAGGGGCCCGTAGGAACACGCTCTTAGGCGGCTCCTCGCCTCGCTCACTTAAAGCCAGGATCTCAAGAAGTTTGGCTGTTTTGCAGTTAGTGAATTGTGTTAGGCTGTGATTGGTTGACGAGGTAGAGTAGTTGACGAGAGCTGAAATGAGGGATGCGAAGCAAACAAAAATCGCAGTGAACTTCCGAACCAACTAGGCACGGAAATCTGGTTGGGTTTCGAAGCTCATTTCCCAGCAATGTGTCTCACTTGCCGAAAAATCTCATGTACAGCAATTTGTTTTGCAATTGAGATTCACGGGCAAATCGGGGATCAGTCGCACACTGAACCTCCAACCCAACCACTTGATTTTGCCTAAACAAACAGGGTGACTCGAGCTGCAAGTGTTTTGCAATTGAAGCCAATTTCTCTTACTTGAGATCCTGGCTTTAAGTTCCGTGCAATATATGCCTGGTTGTTTCTGTCCATCCGCCACCATAAATGGCAGCCTCGTGGGTATTCATATCAATGTATTGCAAGTGCAAGTACCTCCAATGTACAGCACAAAGCTCGGCTAACTCTCACTCATCTCATGCTATTCTTGCTTCCAGATCCCAGATTCATGAAAATGTGTCTCCTACCTCACAACTGATACAATATCAGGCCAGCCATTAATACTGGAGCATGATGAGTAGCCACCAGATCCTATACCCCAAAATCTCGTTATTCCGTGCTAAGCAGCTAACATGCAGTCATTATGGGCAAACTCAACGCCCTTTGGATGGCTTCCATTGCAGCCAGCTCTTGAGGCTATCAGTCATCGAGAAAGTACCCGTGAATGAGATCACACCAGACTGTGAGCCATGAGACCTCTCAGGCTCCCTCCCTCCATCTCCACACAACTCAGAAGGCATCCCTTGGTTGCTTGTCCCTTCTTCTTTCACAACATTCTCTGACTCGTCCTCCCTGTCGGGGCAGTGCTTGGCAATGAGGGCACTGAGGCGGTATGCCACATCCTTCATCGTGGGTCGCCGTGTGCCAGGAGACTTGATGCAGTCCAAAGCCAGGTCCGCAATGTCCACTATGGCCTCCTCACTTACTGGCGGCATCTTGCTGTCCTTCAGCTCATCCACCTCATACGCCTCCACCAGCTTCATAGCCTGGAGGGCAACGTATACGTAACACGAATGAATTATGAATGGTGAGGCAATGCAAAGTAGCAAGCGATGCAGCAAGGGAGGTGGAAGGCAGCATGACAAGGAAGCAGTGAAAATCACCATAAAAGGAAGTCTAGGATAAACATTCAGCCATAAAGTAACAAAGTCAGACGAATTTTATATCTTATCAGCATACCCTTTCTCTTATATGCAAGTTTCCAACTCTTATCCAAAACAAAAAAGAGTTTCATACTTGATGTGCATACCCATTTTCTTATATGTGTTTTTGGGTCGACATGGGGTGACTTGCCACTCAGCAGCTGAAGAAGCACAATTCCAAAGCTGCAAGCAATCATCCATTGTGTGCAAAGAAATGGACAGATGTAGAGATACCAATACAAGGTACACAAACGAACTCAACATAGCCAAGGGGATAAACAAAAAGTGCACAAGTTCATTGTGTCATGGAAAGGAACAAGCATGTACAGCGGTAAAGAAAGCAATACGAGGCATAACCTGGAAGATTTACCAAAAAAAAAAAAAAAAAAAAAAAAAAAAAAAACCAGAATGGGCAATCGCGTTGTCCAAAGGAACAAGCATGCGGACTTGAACACGTCACTCTTGACAGTGATGATGTGGGTGCGGTTGTAATCCGGATCCACATATCCCGGAGTGCCGGCCACCCGAGTGGCATCAGCATCGCCGTGAGTGAGGCGCTTGAGCAGCCCAAAGTCAGCCACCTTGGCTTGCATGTCGGCAGACACAAGGATGTTGGCCGGCTTGATGTCGCGGTGAACGATGGGTGTGTCAAACCTGTGCAGGTACGCTAGGCCCTCTGCTGTTCCCTGTGCCAGGCGCAACCTCTGGCGCAGCGAGAGTGGACCTGGGCCATGAAACATGTATGCCAAGCAGAACACATGATTTCATGAGTGGTGGTGTCATGTCCTTTGCAGAAGAACAAAACAAAACAAAGCAAACAAACAAGCAAACGCCGTTCGACAATTGCGCTAGTGCGACTCACGCTTGGTCCTGTGGATATGGTACTCGAGGTCCCTGTTGGCCATAAACTCGTACACCAGGATCTGCTTCCTGCTTGCCCGTCTCCACGTTCTGGTCCAGGCAGAAGCCCAGCAGGCGCACGAGATGCATGTGGTGGAGAGAGGACATGGCTCGCACCTGCAGTGAGAGCATAATGAAGGCACGTGCACATGGGCATGAAAAAGTGAGACATGCATTTGCAGATCAGCATTTTGGGAAACAAAGAAGTGCCATGTCTTTACTTGTTGTGCAGAGAGGCCTTTGATTGCACCTGCAGCATGGACACACATGGAACAAGATCAGCATTTTGGGAAGCAGAGAGTGCCCTGTTGTCTCGTGACGTCTTTTCCCGTGCAAAGGGAACTAAAGGCATGCATCACCTCCGTTTCAAAGTCGTTGGTCATGATGGTGGAGCGCTTGATGGCCCACAGCTGCCCTTGTGGCGAGTGGCCTTTGTAGACAACGCCAAATCCACCCTTGCCTAGCACATTGTCCTCTGACCAGTTGTTGGTGGCATTCAGCATTTGCTGTAGTGTGAACTGCTCACACACATCCAACCCCTCCCACTTCTCTGCGCACATAAAAAAATCAGACCAGAGGTGTGAGAGACTAAGGGTGTAGATGCGTGGACAGAGCTTGAGGGCAGAGCAGAGGCGAGCATGAGGGCCGTGGAGAGGGGAGCATGAGGGCAGAGGAGAGGCGAGCATGAGGGCAGTGGAGAGAGAAAATTGGGAGAGGTGGGGAGTCGGGAAGGAAGCCAGGGAAGTGGTGTAGTAATGGGGGAGATGGAATGGAAGTGAAGGGTTTGAGGGGCTCACTCTGTCCGCGGGGCCACAGCAGCCATGCGACCACAGAAGCCAACAGGGAGAAGCCAGCAAAGCTACCCAGCACAATGCCCACTATGGCACCCGTCGATAGAGACGACACTGCCAAGGAATGGACATGGGGCGGTGATATATGTGTTTTTGGTAGAAGCCTCGTGAAACGAGTTTTTTGTGCAGAACATATGAATGGAATGTGGAGCTGTAATAACGAAGCAAGGGTTACCAGTGGTGGTGTTGGTGGTGGAGTGGACGATGGCACATGTGGAGGAGCCGTTGCTCGAGTCGACTGTGGTGTACCCCGCATCACAGAGACATGTGAAGTTGGAGGGGGAGGCGGGGTCAGCCGGAACACACGCCCCATGGCCTTCACACGGGCCGTTGTCCGTGATGCTGCAGAACGCCTGGCAGGCTGCCGTGCTGCGCTGGATGGCGTTGACCAAGCACTCCGCGTTCGGAGTGAGGGTGAGGCAGTTTCCCGAAAGACTCACCCTCGCCGGCTTATTTAGAGCAAGAAAGTCGCTCTTGCCACCAAGCTCTCGCCATGCAAAGCTGTCCCTTATGCCCAGGTTGTTGGGCTCGTTGATCTCAGTGGGGCAGACCTTGTAGCCGAGAGCAAAGAGCACCCCATCTCCAAAGAAGAAGTTGTGAGCCAAGTTGACGAGGGGATTGTCATTAGCCGCTATGTACTCAAAGTCGTGGGCGGGGGCACCCATGATCGTCAGCATGTTCTTGAAGTCGCTGTTGATGCGCCCATACAGGCTATTGCCGCTCACCTCTCAGCAGGAAGCACAAGGGGGTCACGGAGGGCAGGAGATGATATTGAGTGGTTGGTTGGAGGCCGTCCCACCAGATAATTATGTGTGTGCAATGCTCATGTTGAGGGTGCGAGCTGCCATAGATGGTACTGAGAATAAATTATGCATGGTAGGCTCACATTTGTGTGATACACTTGTCAAACAGGCAGTCTGGAAGGGGTCCATAGAGGGAGTTGTTGCTTATGAAGCTGCCAGCAGCACAGCACACCCCATGCCGCGCCGTGAGTCACACATCCATACAGAAAGGCAAACACAAAATTGTGAAACGTCTTCACACATTTTAACAATCTCAAATTTCGTGAAAATAGGAGAGAAGTTAAAAAATGTCCGTAACAATAATTCTTAGAAAAAAAAACTCATAATGAATTTTTTATATCAAGTGTATGACTGTCACTCACAGGCGCCACAGCCAGGACAGCGAGCAAATGCGAGCTGGCAGAGGGCCTTCAATCTTGTTGTTGTCCAACCAGCTAGGGAGACAGGCAGAGCATTGGCAGTAACGAAGGCGGATAAAAACGGTTGCATAAAGAGCAGGGGTTGGAGTGGGGATGGTAGAGGTGATATTTGCATGATCTGGTCTCTTGTGTTCATTTTATAGTGTGGAAGCTTGCTAGGTCTGTTATGGTCACGATGTACTACAAGCATGTGCTTGTGCTGCTTGTGTTGCTTCCTATGCTGCCACTGTTCTTGAAAAAAGTAGAGGAGAAAAGCACATGGCACGCTTACATCTGTTCAAGATTCTTCAGCTGGCTGATGGCAGCTGGCAGACTACCAGTAAGATGGTTGTTGGCCAAGTAGCTGAGGAGCAATAGTAATGGCAGGGAGACATGCAGAGCATGCGAGAGTTGTGCAGGCTTGTGCAAGAAAGGAAAGTACTGTTGGGCAGCGGTAGGAACGTGTGATGGGCACTTAGAAAGGGGATCCCTAAACACATGAGGCTTACATGTACGCCAATTTCTTCATGGTGAAGATGGCTGAAGGGATGGCGCCAGTCAGCTAGGTTGTTGTTGAGAAAACTGCAGATCAGGGAATAGCAACGGGGTACATTGGTTGCACATGTAGCTGCGTGTGCGCACAGGCTGCCGCTGCCACCTGTCTGCTGCCATTGACTGTGTGCCACTGCAAAGGTTCGACGGTGACTTTTGTACACGACAACCCACCTTGTTCATATGGAAAAAGCTCCATGCGTATGTGCTCGTGGCAAGCATCATGGCTGTTGTGGCACAAGAAGAGAAGAGAAGGGTCACTCACATGCCATCGAGGGTGGTGAGGGTGGAGATGGAGTCGGGAATCGACCCTGTGAAGTTGTTGCTGCTGAGATTTCTGAGCCACAAACACAGGCGAGGCAAGACAAGTACCGGGTCGGGTCAGGTCTAGTCTTCCCGGGTCGGAGTTTCCAAAAACCTGGCCCGATTCGGCCTTCAAGGACCGGGTCAAGCCTGGCAAGCCCCCGGGTCAGGTACAGAAACCTGCTTTTACCCAGGCTCTGCACAAGATCTGGCAGCGGGAATGCAAGTAAGATTTGCATCAATAAACTCTTAACAATTAATATCTTTGTTTTTGTTGTTGTTTTGAAAATTTCAGTCGAAGTTTTTCACCAAGATACAATATTTTTCCAGACCAAACTAATAAAAAAGATTGGGTGAAGTGAAAACATTGTACGTGATTTTTCCGCCCATGAAATAAAAAGGCACAATTTTGTACCCTGGTGGTGCTAAGGCCAAGATTGAGCAAGCGTTCTTCATAGTAGGAAAAGGAGGGAGAGAGTGTGAGAAGACATATTTACATCTCGTCACAGCTGACATTCCAGCGTGAGAAGTCTGGTTAGGAGCCCCTGAAGTCATTTCCTCCCAGGTTAGTGCACAACTCAAAAGAAGACGACTATTTTAGGGGCATGAAAGTTAACCATGAAGGGAAAATGCTGCACCAGGCACACACAAAGCTGGCAATACACACAGTGGTAAGGCACCACACAGTGCTTCAACTGCTTACAGCATGTTAAGGAAACTTGAGACCATGAGAGTTCGTGGGAGGTCCCCAGAAAGAGAGTTGTTATATACATCCATGTGCTCGGAAATCGAAAGGAAGGCTGGATGCAGCAGTTAGAAAACCAAGCATACTGCCAACCAAAGCATAAGAATGCATCGTGGCCTCTGCGAGACAGTTTTCTTAGTCGACTCAAATGCATTAATGTATTTTGGCACTTTAAAACCGACTCATCAAACATGAATGCATCTTGGCAGCTATGTTGCACTATACGCTTAGATGTTTTACGTTTCACGTTTATGCATTCGGGTATAAACGCAAATACGTGAAACGGGGACAAATACGCGATACGGAAAGCCGGGCAGGCCAAAACAAAAAAACAAACAAAAGTTCGTGCTCTTTCCGTACGAACGTATACCGACATTTCGATTCGCGTTTTTCCCAACCAAGGGACGTGCAAAACCGAGTCGCCACGTTCACCCCACGTACATTAATATTGCCCACTCACCCCCAACAAGTCGTGACCAACCACAGCACGTCCCCTTCCCCACAACCAATACATGGTAAGTATATTTCATCACCCCACCTCAACACAATTCTCATCCAGTTCTTTCTTCCTAGCCTCCCTCCCTGTTTGTTCTCTGCTGAACTATGGCTACTCTAGACCCATCTCCTAGCACTCAAACTACTGATCCGTCAGTCTCGGACCTCTGAGACACAATGGCAGGAAGAGGATAGTAAGCATATTGTTTTCCAGCATTTCAAGGTTCCGATCCGCCCTGACATCGCCGGCGCTGTCCGTGTTTGCAAGTATAGCAACATCGAGTTCATGGGTGGTGCGTTTTGATGCGCTCAGCATCTCGCGAAATGAAAGGGACAGAATACGCGCAACGTCCGCCTGTGCACGAAGGCTCTGTCCGACGTGCGAGTGGCGGTGCGCGCGCATTAGGAGAAAAAAACATCCGGCCGCGACGAAAAGAGGAGGGCCGAGGAGGCTGCGCTCGAAGCTGTCGTGGGAGGTTCTAAGAAAGGCTGCATCACCGACTTCATTGGCGACGAGCAGAAATGCAAGAACAAAGAGGCAGACAACTCCGTCTGCTTATTCTTTGCCGACTGTCGCATTCGTGCACACCACGCCGACAACCCGTTGTGGCGCAACATGGTGCGAGCCATTAACAACGCAGGCCCCGGTTATGTCGCGCCGCGCCGTAACTACGTGGGAGGGGCTGGCCTGAAGCTTTGCCGCACGGGCATCTAGAAGGGGCTTCAGCCAATCGCCGCGAGCTGGAAGAGGGATGGCGCCACATTCTCCTCGGACATGTTGACCGATCGGTGCGGGAGGCCGCAGGCGAACGTCATGCTCATCAACGACTTCCGGAGCTGTGTTTGTCGAGGCTATTGACTGCAACATGGAGTCAAAAATCGGCGGCTACATCACGTCCCTTCTCCGCCCCATCATCGAGAAATTGGGGCCTGAAAACGTAGTCGCTCTTTGCATGGAACGGGGGCTCCAACCACGGGGCCACCTGCAAGGAGCTTATGGCGGAATGGCCGCACATCGAGTACCTGCCGTGCGCTACACACGTGCTCGACCTCCTGATGGAGGACATGGGCAAGATCTTGTGGGCGAAGGAGATTGTGGATCGGTGCGGGGACATGATCAGCTATGTCCGCAACCACCATTTCACCCGTAATTACCTAAGGAGTGGGGCAGTAAAGGGAGGAAAGGGGAAGCAGCTTGTGAAGCCGGCAGGGACCAGGTTCGGCACCAACTTCATCGCCCTCTCAAGGCTGTGCCAGCTGCGGTGGACGTTGTCTCAAATGGTGCTGAGCGAGGAGTACGGCAACTGGGGGAGTGGGACAAAGAAGCTGACGGCGGATACGTTCCGCGGCCACGTCATGGGCGACGAGTGGTGGAAGAAAGCAACATACATTGTGGAGCTCTTGGCGCTTCCGTTCAAGGTGATGCGAGCCACGCATAGCAGCGCTAAGGGCATGATGGGCACCATCTATGACCTCATGCTCCAGCTGACCGAGGACATGAATGCTAAGCTGGAGGCGGGGGGCAAGATTCTAACGCGGGCGGATGCGGCTGAGATAGGGAAGATTGTTAGGCACCATTGGGGGAAGAGAGCCTCGCTTGCGCGCTTCACGTCGTTGGCCGGATCCTGAACCTGACAAATCAGGAAGAGGGTATATTCCGCAACGATGTGGAATGTACCCGCATCTTCAAGGCATTCATTGCGCGCCACTACTGACGGCAAGACCTTCACCAACAAAGACGGTGAGGACAAGCGGGCCTCTATTGTTTTGCAAGACGGGCTCACGGCCTTCCTCATCCTGGAAGGATCCTTCGGCCTCCCTGAGGCAATTGCCGATAGGGAGGTCGTGAAGACAGGCAAGCACTCGATGGTGCAATGGTGGGGATGGCACGGGACTAGACCACCCCCACCTGGCCAGTCTTGCAGTGCCGTGCCCTGACACAGCCGGTGTCAGCCTCGCTGTGTGAGCGCGGGTGGGCATCATGGGAGTCCGTGCACACTGCCCTGCGGAGATAACTACTACAACGGGAGCTAGACTACGGGCTAGGCACGGGTGCTTCGTGTGATCTCTGCGTTCGTTGGTCCTTAGTCGTATTCCTAGTGCTCACACTGCTTGCTAGTTCACGGGGCAATTTGGCAAGAGTTTCACTAGAGAAAGTTGACAATAATGGTCCAAATCAGCTGGCATGGCAAGACTACATCAGAGCTAGCATTCAGGTTGGTCGATTGCCAGCACAGCATGGCCTGACTGCGTTCCAGCACGACTTGGTCGACCGGGCTCCAGCAGTGCAAAGTCGACGGCGTGCCAACGCTGCAGGTTGACGGCGTGCCAGCATTGCTCCCGCAGAATAGCAGCGCACCTACTTCGCAGGTGCTCATAGATGATTGGCGGGCTAAGCCTCGTCACCTGAACAGCGCACGCACCAAGTCATCCTCGTGCTGACATCTCCACCTGATCCGCCACGTCGACCTCGGGATACCACCACCGAGGTCGGACTCGCCAACTTCGCCTGGGTGACCGTCGCACTCCTTCACAGAACCTCATCACCCGGGTATCCTAGTCGACCGGGCAACCATGTCGACCGCCTGCTCCTGTATGTGCTCGTCGACCTCCCAAGTCGACGACCACCCCAAGTCGACCTCACCAGGTCGACCATACCTCTGGTCGACCAGCTCCAGGTCGATAACACTCCTGGTCGACCAGCGCAGTTGTCAGCCGACCACCCTAGTCGGCTACCCGAAGTCGGCGTCACCAAGTCGGCGCCGACTTCCGGGCCGACCTCTTGAAGTCGGCGACCTCCCAAGTCGGTGACCTTGCAAGTCAGTGACCTTGCAAGTCGGCGCCGACTTCCGGGTCGACGTGCCAGATCGCCGACCACCAAGTCGGCGGCATTGCAGTGGCGGCGTGCAAGTCGGCCAACCCAGTCGACCAGCTCGCCCAAGTCGGCGTCGCCCACTGCAACAAGTCGGCTGTACCTCCCGTACACCCAACCAAGAAGTCGGCTCCGCCCAAGCGAGGACGGGGCCAACAACAACTCCCGTTGACACTCCCCTGCCGCGTTCACGCTTGGGCTCCCAGCCCACACGGCATCACTGCTCGAAGAATAGCTCGTCGGCGTGCACCCAACACACAGCACACCGGTCACCGCACCAGCCATGCAGGAGGGCATGGCACCTACTGCTGCACATCGTAGTCCCCGTCGCCCACGTCGACCAAGCGCACCTGGCCAATGGCAACGGAGCACCGGTTGAAGGCCGTATAGTGCAGCGCCTTCGTCAGAAAGTCGGTCGGCTGGTCAAGCGGTCGGGATGTACTTCACGGAAAACTTCCCACGCTTCACCATGTGCTGCACCCAGGCCTGTCGCCGCTCCATGTGCTTGAGGTTGCCCGTCAACCCCATGCCCTCAGCGACCGTGATGGCCGACTTGTTGTCCACCCAGAGGACGGTCGGCTTCCCGGCATCCAGCTGCTGGAACTCTGCGAGGAGGAAGCGAAGTCGACGTCCCTCCTTGCCAGCTTCGGTGGCCGCCACATACTCCGACTCAAGTCGACGACAACGTACGCGCACTTGATGCACTGGCTCGACCAGGAGAATGCCGCCCCTCCGTAGACGAACACGTAGCCGCCCGTGCTCGTCCTGTTCTGCTTGTCACTGGCGACTGTCGGCGTCCACGTAGCCGACCAGCTCCAGCGACTCAAGGTCCACCGCCGAACTCCAGGGTGGTGTCATGCGTGTCGGCGAGGTAGGCGAGGTAGCGGTCGACCTCACGCCAGTGCTGGTCGCTCCTCACCGTGAGGCCGCTTCTCAGCTTGCTGCAAGCGAAGGCGATGTCCGGCCTCGTCGTCGTCGCCGCGAACTGCAGCGAGCCGACCTTCTGCCGGTACTCCTCCTCTTGCCGGTACTCCTCCTCTTGCCGCTCCTGTGCCTCCTCGTCGTCGAAGGTGAGCTCGGCGTAGGCGTCGACCGAGACCGGCGTCTTCGGGGTGCGCCCTGTCTGCTCCTCGTCAATGAAGCGCCTACGCAGCTTGTCTGCGTAGCCCTGCTGGTGCAGCCACAACTTCCCCGCCGACCTGTCGCGCACGATCTCCAGCCCGAGGTACTTCTAAACCGGCGAGATCTCACGCAGCTCGAAGGCGGACTCCAGCAGCTCCTTCAGCTCCTTCAGCATCTTGGTGGTGCTGCTGGCGGCGAGCAGGTCGTCGACGTAGACCAGAACCCAATCAGGCGACTCCGTCCTTTCCGACCTTGAAGTAGAGAGCCTCATCAACCTGGCTCTTCTTCCACCCGGCGCCGACCAGCACGTCGTTGAGCGCCAAGTACCATAGTAGCCACGACTGCTTCAGCCCGTACAGGCTCTTCAGCAGCTTGCAGACCCGGCCGGTTCCGTCGTTGAAGTAGTCTAGCTGGGACATGTAGAGCAACCGGTCGAGCCTGCTCTGTAGGAAGGCGTTCTTCATGTCGAGCTGCATCAGGTTGAGGTTGAGGACGGCAACGATGCTGAGGAAGATCCTCAGCGTGACGTAGCTGCCGACCGGCGCAAATTTCTCGTCGTAGTCGGCGCCGTACACCTGCGTGAAGCCCTTCACGACCAGCCTCGCCTTCTCGCGCTCGACGGTGTCGTCGACGTGGTACTTCGTCGTCAACACCCACCGGTTCTTCATGATGTTGACCTCCGGCGGGCGTTCGACCAGCTCCCAAGTGCCCATGTTGAGGAGGCTGCGGATCTCCTCCTCCATGGCTGACCTTCACCACCGAGCCCTTCCAGCTCGCCAAAGCCTCCTTCACCGTCATCGTCGAGATGTCCCAGCGGTGTTCAGGGTCGGCCAGCATGTTCGGGTCGAGCTCTGGAAACTCCTCATCGTCCTCGGCGTCGTCGTACAGCAGGTCGTCGTCATCGTCCACGTCGTGCACCGTGGTGAAGGCAGCGGGGACGAAGAAGTCCGGCGGCCTCCGAACTCGATCCGACTTTCGTTGTTCGGGCCGAACCTCCACCACGTCACTCTTGGTGGACTCCCCGGCGTCCCCTCCTTCCTCACCACCTTCACTGCCCTCTGTCATCCTGCTGCACCTCGGTCGACTTCCTGGTCGACCTTTCCCCTGTGGTCGGCTGCCCTGCCGACTGCCTGGTTGCCGACTGCTCCGTGGTTGGCTTCACTGCTGCCGGCTCCCCTAGTCGGCTGCTGCTCCTCGACCTGCTCCTCCCCAGTCGACGTCGGCCTCAATCCCACGTTGACTTGCCGCTCGTCACGTCGGCCACCGGCGATGCCATTGGTCGGCGCCGAAGGCGAACGGCCCACTACTCCCCTCATCACCGGAGGCCGACACCGAGGTCAGCCCGCACAGGTCGGCCAGGAGCGGAGGGGCAGAGGCCGGAGAGGGAGGGGAAGGAGGGCGGACGGCTTCGACATCCTCAGCAGCAAACTCACCGACCTTGGCGAGCAGAGGCATTGTCGCTGACGAGGTGTTGGTTGGCGGGGTGGACCGCGTTCGGCCGGACACCGGCCCGTGCTCCGACTTCCACTCGGCCAATGACATCTCCTCGTAGAACACCACGTCCGACGTGGTGACCACCCGGTTGGCGTTGACGTCGAGGAGCTCCCAGCCCTTGCTCGCCGCCGACACACCAAGGGTGAAGGCCCCACCTGGCCTTCGGCTTCAGCTTCCCACCACGCTACTGCTCGGGGAAAAGGAACTGCGCCATACAGTCCCACACCCTCGCCATCGACAAGTCGGGCTTCTGGCCGACCTAGCAGCTGGTACGGCGTCGTCCCCTGCGGCAGCGTCGACCGCTCAAGGCAGTTGCGGACACAGATGGCCTGCCGTAGAGCGAGGTGCCACCTGTGGTGCTGCACGCCCATGTGCAGCAGCATCGTCCGCACCGACTCCACCACCGTCCTCGTCTCCCGCTCCGCCATGCCGTTCTGCTGCGGGGTGTACAGGCAGGTAAGGTCGTGGACGATCCCCTGTCCCTCCACGAAGTCGGTGAACTTCTTCTCGAGGAACTCCCCTCCTCTGTCGTAGCGAAGCATCAGCACCGACTTCTGCGTCTGCCTTTCCATCAACACCAGCCACTTCTGGAACTCCAGCAACATATCCGACTTCTTGGCGACCGTCCTCACCCACACGAAGCGGGTCTTGCGGTCCTTCAACAGCAGGAAGTACAGGCTGCCGTCCTTGGAAGCCACGCGGAACGGCCCGCACAGGTCGATGTGCACGACGGCCAGCACGTCGTCCGCGTCGGAGCCTTGATCAAGGGAAGGTGTGCCGCGCCAGCTTCCCGCCGACGCACGAGACACACGGTGAGTTGGTGCCCGTCGCCGACTTGAGGTCCAGCCCTATGGCGACCTCGTTCTTCGCCGAGCTCCTGATGGTGTCCATGCCGACGTGCGCAAGTCTAGCATGCATCCTGTCCGGCGTCGACTTCGTTTTCGAGACGATCCCCGCAGGGCCACAACCTCTGTCGTGGGCGACGTCGACCTCGTTGAGCAGGGACGCAGGTCGGTGCAGAGGACCCGCCCGGAGTACGTCGCCCGGCCGAGCACCTTTCCAGCCGCCGAGACAAGCAGCATTCCATCTCCGTCCTCTTGCAGCTTCACGCTGTGCTTGTTCAGCTGGCCGGACGATAGCA